ACAGAGGACACAACCTTATATTGACTTCCCATCAATTTTGGAGTTTAGGAGGTCCTCCAGATAATACCTTCATGTCAACCAAATGTTTATTATTCACGTGTGGCGATACTAGAATCAAGATCAGTTAATATATTTAATAACAATAATCTTTATAATATTTCGATCGAATTAAAACTTTTTTTATACCAATTAGTACAAGATTATTGATTTAATGTTATTGATTTAGCCAATAACTATAGTCATTTCACTGACGAACATTCTATTAACCAACACCCAAAAATTATGTAACTGAACACAACACACTTGAGAATAGGAAGTACAGAACTGCGACAAGAAACATAGTTTAAAGACTTTAATCAAGTCTTTAAACTATATATTTTGTCATAGTTCTTTACTTCCTAGTCACATGAATATGATACAATGAAAATAAATAGTATGATTAGTTTAAACAAAGCAGCAGCAACAATAATCGATAATAAGTATTTTTTATTGTTGCAAAAACACTATATGAACTTGGTCATGCTAGTATTTGTCGAAGTGGAAGACGAAGAAGACTTCGCCTTGCGGCTACCGTTAACGGTGTAGGGTGCTGCCAACGGCAGTTTCTGTAGCCCGATATCTTCTCCACAATTGACAAGTTTTTGACATGGTCATCCATCTCGTTATTAGTCATCAACTGCAGCGCTGGTCGGAAGGCTAGCCTGACACAGAGTTCTCTCGCCCAACTGCTTGAGCTCTCTATATATACACACTTACCACTTACTAGCTTTCCGGAAAGCCAAGTGGACTAACCGTAGGAGCTGTATTATACGTTACACGTAGTGAGTATTCTATCGGACGGGTGATCTGAGGCACATGAACATAAGTAAGTTACCCTAGGCTAGTAGATGTCTTTACGGCGACGAGGTTCGAACGCAATGCCTTTGAAGTACGTGGCGAACAAGATAATTGTCAAGCGAAGCTGTAGAAGTGGACAATTAATGATGTCAACAACTCTGTATGCGAAGAAAAAAAATGAATGTATGGTCCAGTACACTAACCACCCATGCTCTGTCTAATGAAGCCGGGAATGCCGTTGAGAGACAAAAAGAGTTTTACAGAACTTAGGAACCACAAGTCTGATCAGTTGCTTTTAGTTCCAGTATCCCCGACTTTTGTTTCGGGATGCTGAAGGAAGACTGGTTGTTGTTGTCGGCGATGGTTCTTACTTTCCAGGTACAACTAAAAACAAAAAAATTTTTCAGTATAGCAAATTTATTTATGGAGAAACTAGAGAATGAGCACATATTAACATCAGAGAATGACCGGTTGATTAAAATATGGATCCGCTACTTGGATGATATTCTAATCATAGCGAATGGAATACCTATTATTATTAAACAATATTAATAGTATTCATTCAAACATAAACTTCACTCTAGAGGTAGAAAAAGATAATAAACTGGCATTTTCAAATGTACTCATCGAACTGGAATTCAAATTCTCTGAAATATCAGAAAATTGCTCTAATTAAATCACTTGTTACCCGAGCAGTCCGGATTTGTTCAGAAGAAAGAATATTAGAAGCTGAAATCAATTGGAGTAAGACTGTTCTACATGAGAATGGCTATCCATTAAAGCACCTTCTCATAGAAATACAAAGGCAGGGATAGTAGAAAAGTAGAAACCACTTCCATTTCTTTACATTCTTTTTACTATTTATTTTTACTGTTTTATTTTTTTTTTCACTATTTTATCACAATCGTTGCATTCAATATTGAATGCAACGATTGTGATAAAATTTACGTTGGACAAACTGGCAATGACGTTGACATTAGAATGGATCAGCATCAAAAAGTTCTCGTCTACAACTCTCGCGTTTGTTTTTACTTGTTCAACATGCAAGTCCAATTAAGATCTCTTCGACAAACTATCTGACATGCTTATCAAGCCATTCTACAACAAATTATGACACATCATTCCATTTCGAAAAGTATTTTTCGAACACTGATTTACTCCATTCAGCGAATGAAATACCGATTCTTCTGACAGGTTTGATTGTGGCATAAATATAATTCTGGACGAAAAATGTGCTCTTAAAACCAATGAAATGATCAACCGATAGCTGATATTCTGGAGATAAATCGGGAAAATTTTGGCAATTGTGTTTTTTCCCTTCAGAACTGTAGCCAGTAAATTATGTGAATCACAGGTGTAGTCCCTTTAAGAGCTACATAATCCATAATTTACAGACCATAAATTACAGCTTCGAAAAGCGTTGCTCTTCAAGGATTAGAAAAAGATCATTTTCTTCTAGAGTTTATAGAGAAACTTCTAGCAAAACTTCAAAAACTGTCGTTGAAAGCATAAACTATACGGGCGCAAGGGAACCTTTGCGCATAAAGTCTATAGCACATTGAATATACGAACATTCCTTGTCCAGGATTCGAGTATATTTCTGAATTTCGCATTTTTTCTTTCCTCCCTCATATGATATTTTCTGACGTCATATGCACTTAAATATTACATGTAACAGTATATATTGAGTGCAAAATCATTTATTGAGTTAGTTCATTCGATTCGCTTACTTTTTTCGTGTGAATAAATCAGCATTTTCGATCGATATTTTGTATCAAATATCAAAGTCATCCTGAACCTGTGACAAAATCTGATTTGAATTTTTTTTAAATCATTAAAATGACCGATGAATTTAATCGATATTATATTAAATTTCGGACAATTCTGGAAATAGATGCAAAGACAATTTGCGAAGAACTTACAACAGCATTGGGACCTGATGTTCCAGCATATTCAGCTGTTACAAAATGGGCGAAACGTTTTCGTGAAGGGAGAAAGGATGTCAATGATGACTTTCGATCTGGTCGTTCCATTTCGGTACTTACAGATGAAAATATCGAACAAGTTCGACAAGTTATCGAAGATGATCCGCATTCAACCTATGATGATATCATAGCCGAGACTTCCCTCTCTCATGGTACAATAGAACGGATCATTCATGACTGTTTAAAGATGAGAAAAGTTACATCACGTTGGGTTGCCCACAAACATAGTGATGAACAAAAGTAACAACGACTTACAGTTTGTTGTCAAAATCTAGCAAAATTTCAGGCTGAGAAATGGAGATTATCTAATGTCATTACTGGTGATGAGACATAGATTTATCATAGACAGATTGGTCGAAAGACGAGTAATGCTACGTGGATTAGCGAAAATGAATCACCAAGGACCATTGTTCGTCGAAATAGATCTGAGCCCAAAACATTGTTTTGTTTATTCTTTAAATCAAATGGTCCTGTTCTTATACACAAAGTTGATAAAGGCAAGACTATCGATCACAACTATTACATTGAAAATTGTCTCAAACCTGTTATTAATGAAATACGAAAACAAGAAAAATCATCAGGTACAAAATGCATTAAATTGCTTCACAATAATGGTCGTCCTCATATTCATCGGGATGTTACTGACTATTTAACAGAAGAAGGTATTGAAATAATACCCCATCCACCATACCTGATCTTGCACCCTGTGACTTTTGGCTCAATGATTACATCAAAATTAACTTGGCTGACCTAGGAAACGAAGAATCACTAGCTCGGGTGGTTTGCGAGACAGTAAACAATATTCCAGAAAAAGAGTTTAAAAAAACTTTTGACAAACTATTAGAAAGAATGAAATTTTGTATAAATAATAATGGTGACTATTTTGAACATTTAATAAAATAAAGCTAAACATAGGTCTTTCTTTATATATTTTTATTTCATGTTTTGAAAACCTTTGGTAAATCCTAAATAAATTCGAATTCTGAACAAGGAATGTTCACATGTTTATTGCATTATAAGCTCTATCTAAAAGACTGTTAGAATTATAGACGAGACATTTTACCAAGTATTCATGCAATAAATCTTTCGATGTTAAGTATTTTATAAAAATTTAAACATCATTCTACGAACTTTTGGTTATCCCTAAGTAATATTTAATAATCGTCTTTCAAAAACATTCATTCTTCATATTCCCAAAATTTACACTAAGCGTGGGCTGTCGTCTTGTTTCATTAAGTGAAAGTCGTTCTAAAAACACTATCGCAAAATCGACTTTTTATGCGCTGAACCAGTTCTGTTCAGCGTATAAAAAGTCGATTTTGCGATTAATGATTAGAGACAGAAAAGGAAAAGTGGACATTTGCCTAACACCCATGGGAACCGACATTTCGACCTTGTCAAAGATCAGCAAGGTATTATATATTTATTGAGCATTAATATGAAGCATATACATATTAAACCATGATACGAACGCTCCGCCAAAATGCTTGAAGAAATTTAGCCGATGATTGACTCTTACAAATATCCGTTTATCATTTTGTGATATTTATGATTTGTTTTCATGTTGATTCAACGTTTACTGTAAAGGCAAACGCTGCCTCCAATAGTATCAAAAGGTGTTACTGTATTTGGTAAAACTCTTAGACCTGATCGATTTTGACCATTTCGTTGAACCAAACCAAAAGTTGCTACTTCACCTTGAACAGTAACAAATACAACACTTGCATTTTCTCCATTAGCAACGTCTTCATACATTTGAGCTGAATTTTCACAATAATAAATTATTGTAGCGATCGTGAATAGCTTTTTTGCTGTAATATCTTGACTACCTCCAGCGCATGCCACCGCTATAACCAGTCCAGATATAGCAGCTAAGTCAACTGTAGTCGTTGAATTGGTCAGTGGAATATTACCCGGCATTGATAAAGGACCTGCTAAGGCTATATATTCATCCTTACGAATGAATGAACATGTGGCGGCTAGTTGTGCTATTCGAGCTGGACGAAAAAGCCAGCTCGGATCACTAATTTCAGCTTGATTATTATTTATTATTAGTTCAATTTGATCGAACGAACCATCACCTTCAGAAAAAATAAACGTCGGTTGAACGACAACATATAAGATCTGACTTAGTTCATATCCCAAAAATGTATAAAAATCAAACGGATATCCAGCAGTTATTTGTTGTGTTGTACCATTGTAAAAGAAATCACTAGAATTCCTGTTGTTGTTTGAATGATCAAGACACAGTGGTCCACAATTGCTATCTGGTGCACCAGCTATAATAACTCGAAATATGCCATTTGATAATATACGGGCTAAAGCCGAATTCTGCGTAACACCAAATTCACGTATTTCTCCGGATTGATCGGTTAACACCTGCTGATGATGAACTACAACATTGATAACTCGGTTTTTTCTTATCTTTTAAGGATGAGAAAAAATCGTTTCTTCTAATATGAGAAATAGGTAAAACTTAATTTAGGCATACGCATATCAATAACAAAATAGCTACAAGTATTCAATTAATGTTTTAGATTTTTTGTGTGATGATTCTGGCAATCTCGATTATATACGTTCTCCATTATTTGTGCAAAATCAAACAGCATTATTCGATGTACTTTCCATTTGGCACATATTGTGTCAAATTCAGTGCATGTGTTGTGCCTATTAACTAACGATTATGTTCAATTTTTAAAGTAAACAACTGTTGCAATATTGTAAATCCACATTTAACATTCATGATTTTATATTTTACTTTTTTTGTATAATAGCCTAAACTATGAAAGCAAGTCAACTCAAGAAGTCTAGTGCACTAAGATTTTGCAATTTTAAAAAAATTCACTTCCTGGCTCTTGTGTGTTAGAAGCATAATCCACGTAAACTGCATGAGTCGAGCGGTCAAGACGTCATGCTGGTATCTTATCTTAGTTTTTTCTCCGCAATAAATTATTCCACTACGCAATGAGCCTTAAATGACTAAGCTATCAGTTCTGAAAGAAAAAGTCGTTCCTTTATATCTAACGTCCCAAGCAAAAAAAATGAAGCGAGAATCTGGCGGTTGGAGCTAGGTAACACGGTTTTCGACCCGGTTAAGCTAGCTCCATCTCAGAAAGCCTAACCTAGATCGAGCGGTTCAACCTACTCTAGGACGGTTGGGCAGGTTATCAACTAGGTTAACCGGCCACTTAACCGACCGATCGAACTAGCTCTATCCGACCTAGCTCCAACCGGGCAATTAACCGATCGGTTCAGCTAGTTCTGAACACGAAATACATTAGATACAGGGAGATTATCAACTAGGTTAATCTACAGGTAAACCGGTCGGTTGGAGTGTCCGGTTCGTCCGGTTAACCGGGTACTCTAACCTAGCTTAAAAAATAAGAAAAAAGAATATGTGCCTAACGAGAATCGTAAGATGTAGACATCTTTGCTTTCTTTAAATGCGCAACGTTTGGTTACGGACGAGACAAAAAGAGTAATGCTGTTCTCTTTCTTACACTACTTTCACATTCATCAAAGAATGAAAGCGAAAGTTTTATTTCATATTCTTCAAAAATGTGTCGATACATTTCACGGGATATGTGAAATGATGAGTCGTGATTTTCGCAGAAAAAAATAATAACAAAGACAGACGCTATACTCGATAACAGGCTACTTGAGTTTGTGGCATCTTTTTTACATGTCCTTTTCATACTTTCACGACTTTTTTAAAACGATTAACGCATTGAGAGACCGAAAAAAACAGATATATGACATGAATGAAAACGAAAGTTTCGTTATTCATTCTCCTTTCGGCCAAATGAAACACTACTATATATGGATAACGTTACGTGACGTTATTTCTGTACAAAGAAAATCATTTTTATTTTATGTTATAGAAAGAGAATGTCACTCGAAAAATATTAGAACGAGTTGAAAACTTGGTCTTGGTGGAAAATATCGAGAGGAAAAATGTCGAAAAGGAAAATGTCGATAAAAAAAGAGTAAAACGTCGAAGAGGAAAATGTAGAAGAACAAAATGCCGAAAAGGCAAACGTCGAAAGCGGATAATGAAAGAAGGAAAGTATCAAAAGGAAAACGCCGAAAAGGAGGAGATTTCTGTAGTAAAGTAAAGTATGATGAAGTTCAGTATGGCTGCTACGATGAACGCCTCACCCCACCCTCACGTTCAGTGATTTTCAAAGGAACAGAACGAAATCTCGTTCTTTTCGGCACTTTCCTTTCGATACTTTCCTTCTTCCATTATCCGCTTTCGACATTTGCCTTTTCGGCATTTTGCTCTTCTACATTTTCCTCTTCGACGTTTTGCTATTTTTTTATCGACATTTTTCCTTTCGACATTTTCCGTCAACCCCGAAAACTTTAGGATGTATATTGTTTAGCCTATTCGATATCTCACTGATAAGAAACCGACAAAAGCTAATCTATAAAACCTTATGAGTTTTCGAAAAGAATTCCAGAAAACGTTTGATTAAAACATGCTTTTTCAACTGAAAACTTCATAATGTTTTTGTTGTTTTGTTTTGTCCGTTTAACACGATTATACTATCGAAAAAACTGAAGAATCTTTTCGAAAAATCATTGGATTTTGTAAATTAGCTGTTATGGACTTCTTATCCGTCAGATATAGAATACGCTAAACAACGTACATCCTGAAGTTTTCAACTCACTCTGATGTTTTTCGAGTGGATAATGAATTTTTTAATTTAATGAAGTTTACGTTAATTATTAAGTTTGATTATATTTAACTAATATTTTGCGTGTTTTGACATTTTACTTCTAATCCGTTGACCTAAATAAAATCCCACAAAATTATGGATATTCAAAGATAAAAATTTTCCACAGCTGGCCTAAGACATCTTTAATAAATTAATACTGTATGATGTAAAGTGTCGCTAATTCGAAATTCCAGCACTATGTTCCTTTCTGCTTATTGATACATCATTTGATAGAACTCGATGAGCTGACCAAGAAAATATGTTTTTTAAGTTTCCTACTGTAAATTTTAATTGAAAAAACTTTAAGTAAATAAAATTTCAAAAAAAGTTTGAATTTTAAAAAAAATTCAATATGGTAGTTCCAAATCATTTAGAAGCCTAGTATCGGGAGCTTTTTTTAAATTTCTTCCATTTTTGAGATAATGGATTCTTCAAACGTTGAATTTGCTTTGTTGTATGGTATGCTGATATATAGGTAATTGTATAATGTGTATGTTGTAACTAGGCCTAGATGAGACGTGGACTAGAACCAAGGAGTTTTTTGGAGAATTTCGTAAAACAGCTAAACATCTATCTTTTTAACATACTTAAATATAATTGTTTTAGGAAACTACCAAGAAGTCTCACAGTTCTTCTGTAGACATTGATCTTTTGATCAATTTTATTTACTGTGTCATGTAAATTTTATTTTTCGCATTGTATGAGCCAATTTTTTTTTGCGGGATCGCGACTTGTTACAGCTAGATATGGGCGGAACAAAGTTCGGCAAATTTATTTTGGTCCCGTCCCGAAAAGCACTTTGCACGTACAATACGAAAAATAAAGTTTGCATGGCACAGTCAACAGAAAAGTTAAAAGGATCAATGTCTATGGAAAACTGTCAGAGTTCTTGGCAAGTTTTAAAAAATTTATATTTAAGTATGGAGAAAAGGTAAATTTTTAGCTGTTTTTACGAAATTGTACAAAAAACTCATTATAGCTTCTTAAAGTCCTTAGCTTATATGTTAAAAACGTTTATTTCTGGATACCTTGGGAGGTTTGTCACTGAAAAACCAATTTTTTCTGCAGATCTTCTCTTGTAGTAGTAACTGGAAAGTTAAAATTCTTTTGTTTTAGTTTTGAACTTGCTAAAGTATGTAGTTGAATTATATGACCTAGCCAAAATTATATCTCAAAACATTACGGTTTTTAGAAACCTTTCTAGAAACTGTTTCCTATCTAAATCATGCTGAAAAAACATCAGAACGACATCAGAACTTTACGACATAGTTGATTATGTGTAGTAGACATGATTAGGAAATCGAAAAAATTTAAAAATGACGTTTTGGTCCTGAGATTTTCTAGAAACCCTTTCGGAAAGCAACACGATTTTATAAATTGTGTCTTATTGATTTCTTACAAGCCGAATATAAAACATCAGTATATTAAAAAAAGATAAAATAGATCAGTATATTGGTATGTCGAATTTTTTAGTTAGGAAACAGTTTCTAGAAAGGTTTCTAAGAAACCTTCATGTTTTGAGATATAATTTTGGCAACCTCATATAATTGAACTACATACTTTAGCAAGTTCAAAACTAAAACAAAAGAATTTTAACTTTCCAGCTACTGCTACAAGAGAAGATCTCCAGAAAAAATTGTTTTTTCAGCGACAAACCTCCTAAAGTATCCAGAAATAATCTTTTTAACATGTAAGCTAAGGAAAGAAGCTATAATGAGTTTTTTGTACAATTTTGTAAAAACAGCTAAAAATTTACCCTTTCTCCATACTTAAAAATAAATTTTTTAAAACTTGCCAAGAACTCTGACAGTTTTTCCATAGACATTGATCCTTTTATCTTTTCTGTTGACTGTCTCATGCAAACTTTATTTTTCGTATTGTACGAGCAAATTGTTTTTCGGGACGGGACCAAAATAAATTTGCCGGATCGGGAGTAAAAAACCTTGATTCCGCCCATATCTAGTTGTAATAAGTCACGGTCCCGCAAAAAAAATTTGCTCGTACAATGCGAAAAATAAAATTTGCGTAACACAGTAAACAAAATTGACCAAAAGATCAATGTCTATGGAAGGATTGTGAGACTTCTTGGTAGTTTTCTAAAACAATTATATTTAAGTATGTAAAAAAGATAGATGTTTAGCTGTTTTACGAAATTCTCCAACAAACTCCTTGGTTCTAGTCCAGGTCCCGTCTATGCTTACGAGGGAACCCCATCAACTGATTAAAGCTTTAAGGCTCATATTCCGGCCATAAGTAGGACTTAGTGGGACTAGAACAATCTAAAAGGATTTCTCCCCATGGGTCTTTTTTGTTGAGATATGAAGGTTTCAAGTTTAGGACCAAAAATGTAGATAAATTGGTTGTTGTGCTTGAATTATAATACTAATATATATCAGAAGAAAAATTTATGATTCAAAATATTTATACACTGAAGTGTTTTACGCGTTTTTCTATAGATCATTTTGAGAGTTGTGTAAAGGTTGCCGAAGCGATCAAAAGAAAAACAAACTTCCTTGACGTTTTGAAATGGACCCGGATTTTCTTTGGAGTAGCCGCTGGCGTACCATACGTATTTTATCATAGGAACAAATATAGAACTGCTCATTTGATTATGAATCAACGACTGCAGACGTATGATATTGTTTCGTTCACTCATATTGACGTTGAGTTCATCTAATCGCACTCGATCATAGGCTTTTCTAGCGATAGCCTTCCATTGTCTATTAAAATAGACATCCAAAGGTTGTATTAACGATGCCGTTTTTAGAGTAATTTAGACGTTCGAGATTTTTAAATTTTCGTAGAGAGTTTTAGCTCCTTGTGTTGACCACGAGTTGGAAAGCAATAGATATTTAGAATTTTTC